TATTTTATGTCAACACGTGTATTAAATTGTCATCAAGCTTATTAGAGCATTTCTTTATCAAGATTCGAGTTCATCATCACTTATCGATCAAGAAAACAACAAGGTGTGTCCAATGCCTTGTCTAGACGTTCTTATCTTGCACCAAAAGAAAGAGATGCAGCTTTTGAGCAATAAAGAATGGTTCTCTTGAAGCCGGAGCAATTTCATCTTCGAGCAATAAAATCAACATTGACAATCGATTTAAATTTTCTTAAACAAGTCCACTTAAGTATGTCTTCAGACCCTCTTGTTCATGATATCAAGAATAATTCTTCTAAATCTCATGATCCCTCTAAATTTGAATTCAAGAACAAGCTACTCTATTTCGAAGGATGCCTATATGTTCCAGAAGGAGAAGCACGTTTACGTATTCTTCAAGCTTGTCACGACTTCACAGGAGCAGGACATTTTGGATATAATAAGACTTTGGAGCTGATATCTTGGAATTTTTGGTGGCCTCAAATGTAGAAGGCAGTCAAAGATTTTGTACAATCATGTGATGTTTGCTCAAGATCAAAAACTCCTCGTCATCGACCTTTTGGACTTCTTCAGCCATTACCTATTCCAGAACAACCATGGTCTTCTGTTTCTATGCACTTCATCACCGATCTTTCAATCTCAGGTTATTATGACTCTATATTCGTGATAGTAGATCGTTTTACCAAGATGGCACATTTTGTACCATGTACAAAATCTATCACACGTGAAGTAATAGCCAAGCTCTTTTTTGACAATATCTATCGCTATCATGGATTATCCAAGGATATTATATCAGATAGGGGAACTCAATTTGTATCAAGATTTTGGCTGACTCTTCTTAAGATTCTAAAAGTGGATATAAAACTATCTTTGGCATTCCATCCTGGAACTGATGGACAAACGGAGCGTGTTAATCAAGTTTTGGAGGAATATTTAAGATATACCATTAACTACCAACAAGATAATTGGACAACTCTTTTGCCATTGGCAGAGTTTGCTTACAATAACATGGTACATTTTTCTACAAAACAAACACCTTTCTTTGCTAATTATGGTTATCATCCACGACTTGATACTTTTGACTTTTCAAAAGATGATAATCTTGTTGTGAAAGATTTGGTGATTCATTTATCAGAGCTACATGCAACGATGAAGGCGCAGTTAAAAGAGGCTCAAGAATAACAAAAAGTCAATGCGGATGTCTATCGAAAGGAACAACCACCATTCCTCTTGGGTGATAAGGTATGGCTACTTCATCGCAATATCAAGACCACTGGTCCTTGTGACAAGTTGGACTATTGAAGGCTGGGACCATTTCCTATTTTTGTACAGATCAATCCAGTTGCATATCATTTACATCTACCGGAGTCAATGAAAATTCATCCAGTATTCCATGTGTTCCTTCTTGAACCATATAAAACAGTGGACATACCAAGAAGATGACAAGCTCTACCTCCTCCTATAGAAGTGGACAATAATGAAGAGTTTGAAATAGAAGAAGTCTTAGATTCAAGGCAGCGCCGAAATAAATTGGAATATCTTGTCTATTGGCACGGATATGATATTAGTGAACGCATATGGGAGCCAATAAAGAATCTTGTAAATGCAACAAAGGCGGTGGAGGCTTTTCATCGACAACATCCATCAAAATCAATATGAAAACCTTCTTTATAAAAAAAATAACATCTAGGCAAGATAACATTCTACTTTCAATTCTTGTTCGTAGCTTCTTTGTAGTAGTGACGCTCAGGAGATGGAGAACCAACAACTAGCGGATTCGACTCAAGAGCCTTAATTTGCTGACTTATCGAACGAGATATTACGATTTTCACAACCGTCAAGATGATGTAATCAAGATGAAGATCTTCAAGAACGACATGTTCTTCCTCGAATAGATGGCGAGATACAACATATTTGGTATCACGATTTGGGAAGGGACTCCCAATGTTTGGTGATTTTGTTAGAGGTAGGAACAACTCTTGATGGTGTTTCAAATGTTCTATTCGAAGGAAGTTATGAAGGCCTCAACAATGATCAAATAACTGGGTGATCTTTCCGCCCTGGTATGGGACACTACCGATGGTTGAGAGGCCCTATCAATCATCTTCAAAGAGAACAAAGATCAGAGTATGTGGCGAATACAATTTGCCGCATCATAGATTTCCTCAACATATGATGACCGCTCCTCGTGGAATTCATCCCTAGAAGGGGGGGTAATGTCACGGACATACTTATATAAGCTAATAATTACATATAAAAATAGGTGGAAGTAAGTTAAAGTAGGTAAAAGTAAGTTAATTCTATAATATTTAATATGAAAGCTTCCTAGAAGCTTCATAGACACTGCTTTGACTTCATAGGTATCTTTAATTGACTTTTTGGATTAGAAACATGGTCAACAAGTTGGCCATGTGCCACACATGTTGTTAGCTTGAAGATCAAGCTCACTATGTGGCTCACACGTAGAAAAACTTGCCTTGTAAGTCAAGGCATGTGTCCTACAAAGTCAACACATATTGGAGGTCCTATAGAATGTCACCATGTAGCCCCTAGTTAGATAGTATATATAGAGACAAGAGTGAAGCCTTCTTCACTCTTGTCAACTTCTTTCTTGCTTGCAGTCTAGTTTCAAGGGTCTTTAGTTTTCTTGTCTTTTGGCAATAGCCATTCTAGTTTCTCTTTCAATATACATACTTATTTATTTATATTTTGTTAACTTTCTTTGAGTAAAGGCTCACTTGACTGAATTGATTTTTCATCGAGTTCTTGTCCTTGACAGTTGGAGGTCATAGATGACATTTCTAGGTAGCTCCTAGTTAAGAATATATATGGCGGCAAGAATGAAACCTTTTTCATTTTTGTCAATACCTTTCTGGTCTTTAGTCTTATTTCAAGACTTTTTAGTCTTCTTATCTTTGGCAATAGCCATTTTAGTTCAATATATTACCATATTTGAGAGATTTTTTAGTCTTTTTAAGTAACATTAGAATGTATTGAATTTTTTTTTAAAAAAGATTTATGTCCTTGATACAATCTTGAAAAATTCAATATATGCTTGATATAGATCCTATATTAAGGAAGAATTTATTAAATAGAAATAATTCCAAGGAACATTATTTTATCAATATAAGCTCATAATTAGTAATAATAAGTTCTTTTGTTCTTTACAAATATTAGACAAGGCCCTTTGAATGATATCACCTCTTATGTGAGGTGGTTTGTATAGAATGTACTTAATATAATAGTAATCATGTAAATAAAGATACCATAAGGCACTACTTTATCCAAGGTTTTTCTATATTGTTTATAATTAGGAATATTCTAAATAAAAAATATAAGATTCAAAAATAATCATTTAAGCAGCTTTAGAAGTAATGGTTATTGATAAAAAAAAATGTTTGTATACCTAATAAGGCAAAAAAATCAATATTTATTTTTAAATCTTTATAATATTGAATTATAGAATCTTATAAATATTTATATTTAAACTACTCATAATTTTTTATCTTTCTAGTGCTAATAAAAAATTCAACATTTTTAGTTATATAAATCTCATAAGAACAATTCAAACTAACACCTTCAATAAAATTATATTGGAATTTTTTTAAAATATATGATATTTTTAAAAATGATATGATAAATTCTATGAAGGCTATTATTGAACAAATATATTATCTCATCAAAAATCAAACTCCAATTATAAAAAAAAGATACAAAAAAATTAAAAATTCATACTTTTGGATTGTGGTGTAAAATAGAGTTATTATTTTTATATATAATATTTTAAAATTTTAAAAATAATAATAGTAAAAAAATCAAAACTATATGAATAAATTTTCAACAAACAAAATATATACAAACACCAACACAATATGTGTTTTTCTTATTTCTTATTTTTTCATTAAAAAAAAACTCACTTAGTAAATATATTGCCATAAGATGCATTTTTCTACCTCATTGACATATACAATGGCATATTTCATCCTCACCATAGATATCAAAACTTTAAAAGAACTAACATATGCTTGTACATACGTCCATTCCAAAAGCATATAGAGAATTTTGGGCACTAATTTTGATTTCAATTTCCTTGTATATTCTACCAACAACAATACTATATATATAATTGATATGTAATATCTTCAACATAAATCAAGGGAATTGTTAGGTGTACACCCCATTCTATTGCATGGACACCTCTTTGTGTCACACATCTCCCCCACATAAACAATAAAGCTCTTCTTTACATTGAAAGTGTTTAGGATAAGTACACAGTAAAAGAATTGTGTGTAATGGCTCATTGCAATTCATTTCATCTTCTCCTTATTTGTCTATTTATTTTATTTTGTTGATCAAATTTTAATCAATTTCATAATAGATTTTATACACTTCTTTAATTTGATTTAAAAAGCTAATTAAATTTACATAAAAAATCTTTTACTATACACATACCCTAAAACTTTTTAGTGCAAGTAAGAGATCTGTTGTGAATATGAAGGAGTGCGTGGCATGAGAGGTGTCCAAACAACAAAAGAAGAATGTCCATACAGTAAGACGAGGTGTCCACCTAATGATTCCTTTACCCATTGAAGTTCACGTCACGCTTATAGAAACAAGCGAAAATTGCAAGAATCAAAACCACATGCTATTGCTTATACAGACCATGCACTAGCGACATGATCATCTAAATCTGTGGAACACACTGGCAAACAGAAGAGGTGCTAGCGTATAAGAATACAAATGAACAACATACATAACTTAAATAAAATGAAAGATTGGCTCGGAAAACGAGTAGCGCACTCAAGACCGCCGGTAAACGGAGTCTAGCGGCGAAGCAAGAGCGGTGCAACCCACCACGCAATTAGATGGCGAGCGTCACGTGGAAGAGCGTGCCTCGGGCGGAATCCAATTCCCTGGTCGGAGATGGCCCGGACCGCATCGAGCTAATAAGTTGACGACATGAACCTCCGCTCATCCGGGTTCCGATATCGTCTTATCCGATAAGTGCTCCTGCTGCCCTTTTATCCTGCTGTGTCCTGCCCCTCCATCTGTGCTATAATTGCCCCTCCCGCCTCCAACTGTAGTTATTGACTCGCAGCGGCTTGCACTTCCGGTGTGTCAATCTCGTGATAGCTTCGCTGTGCATTGTGTGTTTCAGCCATGGCTGCCGCTACCGCCTGCGCTTCTACCGCCTTGGCTGGGCAGAGCTTGCTCAAGCCCGTGAACGAGCTGTCCCGCAGGGTGGGTGCCAATGAGGCCCGCGTCACCATGCGCAAGTCCGCTGGGTCTGACAGCATCTGGTGAGCTTCGCGTTTTTGTGAGTCTGGTAGATGGGTGTTATGCGAGTGCTGATGACACAATGCCGGGTTTATGGAGAGTGTGTCAAGGGTGCTGGTTGGTGTTATGTTTGTTCGGGGACATGCGAGTGGTTTGTGCAAACAGAGGTTGCGATGCTTGATTACTCAGTCGGCGATGTGACTGATTGGTGTAGGTATGGCGCTGACCGACCCAAGTTTCTGGGCCCATTCTCCGGCGAGACCCCCTCGTACCTGAATGGTGAGTTCGCTGGTGACTACGGCTGGGATACCGCTGGATTGTCCTCCGACCCCGAGACGTTCGCCCGCAACCGCGAGCTGGAGGTCATCCACGCCCGGTGGGCCATGCTCGGAGCCTTGGGGTGCTTGACCCCTGAGCTCCTGGCCAAGAGCGGTGTGAAGTTCGGAGAGGCCGTGTGGTTCAAGGCTGGCGCCCAGATCTTCAGCGAGGGAGGTTTGGACTACCTCGGCAACCCCAGCCTTGTGCACGCACAGAGCATTTTGGCCATCTGGGCATGCCAGGTGATCCTGATGGGAGCCGTGGAGGGTTACCGCGTCGCCGGTGGTCCCTTGGGTGAGGTGACGGACCCCATCTACCCAGGAGGTTCATTCGACCCCTTGGGCTTGGCCGACGACCCCGACACCTTCGCCGAGTTGAAGGTGAAGGAAATCAAGAACGGGCGATTGGCAATGTTCTCAATGTTCGGGTTCTTCGTCCAGGCTATCGTCACCGGCAAGGGACCCCTGGAGAACCTGAACGACCACCTGGCTGACCCCGTTGCGAACAACGCATGGGCATACGCCACCAACTTCGTTCCCGGCAACTAGATGTATGATCCGTCGAAGAGATGACGGCTGAGGCGCAAGATCGCCTTGCATTCTGTACCATAGAGGAGTAAGTGTTGCAAATTATTGGCGGTTGGGTGTTTCCAGCCACGCTGGTTCAGTAAAGGATGATTACACAAGAATGAACGTGTTTTGGTGTGCCACGGGAGACGCTGATCCCTGAAATGTCGCAACGTTGGTGTTCGGAACATGTGATGACGAACGGTTGTGTTTACTCCGTGCGTCACCTTGCTTCGACACAGTGTCAAGGCCAGTAGCAGATGGTAGAATGCGGAAGAGTCTGTCTTGCAGTCGGATACATGAATGCAATCCGACTTACAGCGGGTTTGCAGCAACTTCTGTTCCTAGCGAACGAGCAGGGATTGTGTTGGTTGAAGGTGAAAATGAGTGTCAAGTTTTTATGTGAAGAGGGACTGTGAGCAGACAGATTTTCTCTATTCACGGTTTTGAGGAAAGAAATTAATGTGTCCGTTGTCGGAGTTTTCGCGCTGGTTGTGCACCTGGTTCTGAGAATTACTCGATTTGTCATGTTCAATCCTTGTATGAATTATCGCTCATTATGTTTACTATCCTTTTTGAAAACGTGTGAGCGGAAGAATTGAAATCGAGCGGCACTTGAATGTAGAAGTTAATATGATTCAATTCAAGGAGGAGAATCTCTGTAGTCTTGCAATATTCACGGTTTTGAGTAAGGGAAGAGTATTCTTCGTCATGAACACTGATGTGGCAGTTCACCGGTGTGCCGTTGAAAGGGTGTTGCTGAAATGAACTAACGGCCAACTGTTCAGTTACTCTATACAATTTTTGAAAAAATCTTTTTGTTTATGGTTATATGTTATGAATATACCCGAAATAGGAAAAGCACGTAGAGGTGATTATGTGTAAAGCGGAAGTGTAAGAAGTATGCCAAATATGACACATTGTTCTTAAATGACAATTGAACGACCTACTTTAGAAGCTTGTTTACTACATTGTAGCGGGCATTCTCCGTTGATACTCTTCAAACTGACGATCGTACATCAACAGGCAGTAACACCGTTTATGCTTTTAATTCGATCTGCTGTTGTACAAAACATATTGTCTAACCAAATTAAAAGTAATGTCTAATGTAAATGTTCGAAAATTCTAAGCAAATTATATTAAATGTCTACACATTATTGAGTTGTAACAGACCACAAATCTTATAATTAAAAAATAACAATCTTGCTATGTTCTAAAAAGAATCATATTTTATTTTTTTTCAAATTAGATTTTATGTATATGTATATATATATATATATATATAAATTTCAAAATTTAGTATTTTTAATGCATGAAATGTTAAATTGCAGTAAGATTTCTTCTTACAAAGGTGAACTGAAAATAAAAATTTCAATCATTGCAACTATAAAGAAAGATAACAAGAAATGTTTAAGCACACTACTAAAAAACAATCTAAATTTGTTTTGCAATTTTATAGCTAACTTTTAGTACAACCTCAAAACCTAAAAACCAGTTGCCTCACATGTTATAATTTGTAGACTACACTTACAAGTTATAAGATTTGCAAGTATAATGTAGAAAGGAATAAGATTAGTTTTGAATCATCCAATTAGACATTAACAAAAGATCTTAAGATTTAAATTTGGCATACACTTACAAACTAGAAAAAACGTATAGTTTAAAATGTTTCATAGTTTTTATTTAGCTTTCTTAGTTGATGTGTCACTCTTCTTATGTGATATACATTATAGTTCTTTTTTGTGTATCACTACATTTTCCTTACATTGTTACTTCTAGGTTGATCCTACAATAATTTTTAATTGATTGCATTACTAATCTTTGTATTTCTTTGTTCTATTGATAATTGCAACAAAGATTATTTGATGTTTTTTTAACCTCTTTTGTTCAATGCTACATTTTCTTGTCTCTATTTAGAAGGAAAAAGATAAAAATAAAAATAAAAATATTATATTTTACTAATAAGATTCAAATATTATTTTTCTAAAGCAATAACACATCTCAAATAAATAATACCCAATTATTATATTTAAAGATAATGATTCTTCTATTTGACAAAACAAACCTTTCAAATCACTTTCAAAATTGGCTTTTGAGGCTATCTTTCTAACTTACTACTACTTATTAGTTAGATTGATTAGCTACCTATTAGTGATCTCAAGAAGTCATATAACTAAATCTAATGTTTTTAGCACCATTTCCATGTCAATTAGATGAGATTAATATTAAAATTAGCTAAAAGTGGTAAAAACAACTAGAATTTGAATTAACTAAGCCAACGGACTATTGATTGTGCTTTTGCATGGCAATCATTTGAAATTTTTTATTTTAGAAAAGAGAATCCAAACGACCATAGCTAAATAACATTGATCTCAATTAATGCATTTGGTAGAATCTTATGAACTATACAGACATCAATCTCAATTGCCTTGCCATCACTTAGTCTTTGGATAGTTTTTGCACGAGTTGCTATTCTAACCTTACACCTTTAGCACTTTATAATATCAATTCATATCTTAAGGTTTTTTTTTTTTTTTTATTGATAATGAAACTTCTAGCTATTAAGCAATCATCATGCATACATTAAGCCTAATTTAATGAACATAAAAATTATAGGATTTTATTGTATTTCAATATTGGTTTTACATGATGGTCTTAGTATTGACTCTAAAACCTTATATTACTTCAACTAATCTTTATATGTATCTTTTAATGGTATATTATTACTTGTATGAAATCTTCAATCTTGTGCCATAGACTCTAGCTCTTGAGGTAAGACATTAGTGGTCTATGTATTGTTAGAAACATACATATTTACCTAAATTTAAATGAATTATGTAAAATTAAGTAGAAGTAAGTAAATTTGATAATATCTTGTGAATAAGCTTTTTAGAAGTTATATAGATGCACATTTGACTTTATACATGTCTATAGGTGATTAATAGGTTAAAAACATAGCAAACAAGTTGGCCATGTATTAATCATGTTGGCTATTAGTAGAGGTTTGTCATGTGGCGCATATGTAAAACTTGTCTTACAACTTAGACATGTGTCTTTCAAATTAGACAAGTGTTGGAAGTCTTATAGAATATTACCACAAAGCTTTCAATTAGATATTATATATAGTAGTAAAAATAAAGCCTTTTTCATTCTTATCAATACCTTTCTTGTTTTTAGTCTTATTTCAAGAGTCTTTAGTCTTCTTGTCTTTGATAATAGCCATTATAGTTTTAGTATTATAGTTTCAGTGAATATCTACTCTTTTCTAGTGATACAAGAGTGCATTGATTCTTTGGTTGATTATAATTCATATCCTTGATAATTTGACAAGAGTATTTATTTATTATTCATGTTTTGTTTTTGAAGTGAGTGAATTATTCTATTTTTTTTTGTTGTGTTTTAAAGGTTGTAGATTATCTATCTTTAAACCAATATTTGTATTTGATACCAAAGGTTGTGGATTAACCTTTTCTAACTTGACTTATGGATTTGTTAAAATTGTTTGTTATAAAGATGGAAGATAAATTTATGGATGCTACACTTGACAAAAGTGAGAATAGATTTGCAACTACTGCAAATCTTCACAAGCTTGTCAATACTCTTAGAATAATATTTTTTTGTATTATAGTCGACAATCATGGAGGTATTATTTCTAAGTTTGGAGAAGAAATTAATAATAAAATCTAATATCTATATTATGAAGTTGTGTAGTTAAGAGATATAAGTAGATCAACCTCACAATTAAATCCAAGAAGTCTTGCTACTACAAGTTTTAGGAAGATAAATATTAGTATCTCAAAAAATTTTGATGGAATAAGCTCAAATTTTTGAGGATTCCTATAATAAGTCTAGTTCTATTTAAGATTATATTCTTCTCAATGTCTTGATGGATTTATTCAAGTTGGATTCATAGGTACATTCATATCTAAAAGTGTTATTTTTTTAATTTTTATCCTTAATGGAAAAAGATTTAAAACTCATATATGATCTAAATTTATTCTTGGAATTGTTTACAATTATATTTTGAGAAAGAAATCGAAAAAATATAGCAAAAATAAAACTCTTATCTTTACAAAAAGGATTAAAATCAACTACTATATGTATTGCTAAAATTCAAAACCTTACTTGAAACGTGGATTAGAATATTAAAGCTTTTATCAATCAATTTCAATATGGATTAAAAGATAATTTCATAGATTTATTATTAATAATATTACAAGTAGAATTATCAATATAAATTATTGGTTAAGCCATTGTATGAAAAAATCAACTTTTTGAAAGACTCTAAGAACAAAGATTTTAATGGAAAAGAACAAATTAAGTTATGAGAATAATTTCTAAATTTTCAGAAGCTTATTTGTTGAAGGCATAACCTATGAAAATTGATACAATATATTTTAAACCTCTTATTGAGCAAAAAAAGTCTTGATGTTATTAAAAATGATTGTGCTTATATTGTGGAGAATCTAAGTACATTACTCAAAATCGTCCAACAAAGTAACACAATCACAAAATGAGGAGTATGATTGCTAAAGATGACAATGTCTTAGAAAATAAGTTTATTAAGTTATAATATGGACATGAAATTAGAATCTTATGTAATACATTATAAAGTTTTTTTTTTTTTAGATTTCTTAGCTTATTATAAAATAGATTAATATTTAATACCAAATAATTATAAAGCCTTTGACATATTAGATTTAGAAGCCTCAACTTATTTTATATTGAAAGACTTTATTAAAAAATATGAAATACCTATAGTAAAGAAAATTAAACATGTTGTAATATAATAACATGATTATAAGGTAAAAGAGAATAATATAGGTTTATATTATAGAAGAGATAAATTAAAAAAATATAATAAAAATATAATAGAAAAGATATGGAGGTAGTAAAAATATTTAGTGTTAATATTATGTTTTATTATTAAGACTTCTTTCTAGTTTTTTGGCCATCAATAAGGTAAAATAAAATAGATTAAAAAAAAATTATTACAAGAAGTTTTTAGAAGGGAATTAAGAATAATTTTTAATTAAAATCACTCTCAAAAACCTTGAACTTATTTTGAGAGAAGATCAATTGTGAATAAGAGTCAAAATCAAACCATGAGGCACAAAATTGTGCACCTATAGTAATTTTGGAATTCTTTTGCTTATCAAAGAATGAAATTAGAGAATATACATTAAGAAGGTGGATGAAGTATTGATATTAAGTAATTTTAATGGATATTAAGTTGCAAAAAGCTTTTAAAAAAAGAAGATGTTTTCAGTGATTTTGGATTTTGTGAAATAATAAGAACTTACATATTTGCAAATATTTTAACTATTGTGACAAATTTATAAGTGAATTATTTTAGATTTTAAAATATATATTTTTTAATATTTTTAAAATATTAGAAATAAATAAAACGATTATATCAATGAATTTAGAAATTTGATTGGATTTGGATCTCAAATATTTAAATTTTAGGATTAATAAGATTTTTTGTTATCTTAAAAAATCCATTGATTCAATTGAAGAAAAATTTT